ATCTTGTTATATTCAAATGACACTACAACCCCTGCTTTTCAAGTATTGATATAGAGATTAAATTAACTCTGATAGAGGGTACATGCAGCACGTCACTCAAAACCAGAGTCTTCCTATATGTGAGTTTAAGAAGAACCTTTCCCTTTTCTAGGACATGAGTTGTCCTAGAATCACAAAGGTATACATGTTCTTCTCCATCTCTTACACTAATGTAAGAGATAAAGACACTTCTCTTTGCACAAATATGCTTGGTAGCCCCAGAGTCTACCACCCACTTGCTGACATTGGTCCTTAGATTTACTTGAAAAACAATTGCAGTAATAATGTCATCTCCTCCTAGGAGGATTGTCGTTTCTTGTTGTGCGCCTACACTGTGGTGCATGATGGCCAGACTTCCCACATACGAAGCAATTTTCTTTCTTCTTAAAGGTGGGGTTAGATCCGTCGAGACGAGATTTTCGAAAATTATTTTTTCAATTGTAATCAGGTTTGTGTTCATACCTTTTTGAAACATGTTTTTCTTGAGCAAAAGTGACTTCGTAATGCCTAAAAGGGTAAACATGCATTTTTTCCAGTGCTAGAAGTTATGGCCAGGGAAGACTTTGACTTTTGACACGTCCAGAAGCGTGTTGTTGATGTCAGCCATAAGTCCTTAAGATTGTTGTAGAAAAAGCTAACAAAATCACGAACCATATTTCCTAAGATGTATAGATTCACTGTCCTTAAGGACCTATCCGTGATGTATTGCGCAAGTTCTCCACGATACAATAGAAACTTCTCGAAATATTCGACGATCTATCTCAGAACTAGTAAGGAACTCTAAAGAAAGTAAAAGAATAAACCCAGGATATAAAGAGGATAAGAAAAGAAAGGAAGAAAACTAAAAAGATAACTTGAGGAATAAAGTTTCCTTTTGAGAGGAGAAGAGAAAGCTTGATTTTTGTGTGTTTTTTGGATGCAAGAAATGCTCTATTTATGGAGCATAAACTTGGTCAAAAAACCATTGTCACGATAATGAGTAATAAAAACTGACCGTTGGTAACATAAATTAATCGTTGCATTGCACTTATGAACATTAATAAGAAAATAAAACTATGTTCTTATTAACATTAATAAGAAAATAAAAACAGTTCGCTAACGTTTAAAAATAAGGTTTTTTTTTTGCAATAAATGTTTATTTTACAACAAAATATCATTAGGTTCTTACTCTTTCATTCTAGTTTATCGCATTGTTAATGGAATTATGCAGCTTCTTTAGCAGCACTCTTAATTAACAGATTACATCACAAATACTTGACAACAAATCACCTTATAATGTCCTATACAAAAAACCTCCTAACATTTTACATTTAAGGGTTTTTGGTTGTCTCGTGTTTTGCATGGTATTTGGATGAGAAATTTTTTATGAAGCCTCCTCCTGGATTATCTCTTTCGGATCCTAACTTGGTCCGCAAACTTACCAAATCATTATATGGTCTTCGGCAAGCTAGTCACCGGTGGAATTTTAAGCTTTCTCATACTCTTGTTGCAGCTGGTTTTGTGCAATCCAAATCTGATTATTCCTTATTCACCAAACATTCTCCCACTGGTTTCACCATTGTGCTTACTTATATAGATGATTTAATTCTAGCAGGGTTTGACATATCTGAAATCCACCAGCTGAAATCCGTAATTAATAACAACATTCTCTATAAAGATTGTTCAATGAGGAAATGAAAAGAATGCATTTTGCTTTTGCATCTTCTTTCTTACAGTTTTGACACTTTCTGATAATTATGAGATAATAAAGAGTCATTAAGTTTTTTACACTGGAGCTTGTTTTATTCATTAATAGCAATTAAAAACGCACTTTTAACATTTGGTAAAGTTTAAAACTAACTACAGAAGTGAAAACAAACAATAATCCTACAATTTCTAACCTAGCGCCAACAGCATATGTTTCTTTAAAATTAATGTCTTCTTCTTTATTATAATCTTAGCAAACAATCTAACTTTATTTCGTTTTATCACACTTCTAGTTCAACTCATTTTGTTCCAAAAGTGTTCAAGCTATTTGTTTTAGGCACAAAACCCCAAACTTGATTTCTTTTAAATTGATTGAGATCATCATATCTTACCATAACCTAGTCTCCATCTTTCAAACTAGAAGATTCTATGTCTATAAGTAATATTCTCACACTATGTGATAGTTCTTCCATTGGTTTATCCAAGAATTCTATTTTGTATTCTAGAGTAAAACATACATCATTTTACAGTAGACAGTCTAATTGCATCATTGAACGTCTTGCAGAGAACATAAAAGGTTGTATACAAGTACGAGCCCAATAATTTTGTTAGAATTGTGCAGTAGAATAATTACTTTTAGACAAAAACCAAGAAGAATGAATTACTTTTTTTAATAAAACTGTGCCTTTTAAAAAATTTCCCTTTTTCAAACTGACTTTAGAAATTAATTTAATTTCTTTCAAGAAAAATAAAGAGTATAGGAAAAAAGAGAATTGTAAAAATAATTTTATACTGATTTAGACAAAAAAAGATTTTACATCTAGTTATTAATCTCTCCAAAGAGAGATTAACCAATCAATAGCAAACAACCATAACTTATAATCACAGATAAAAAAAGTTTAGGTTAGAAAACACTTCTTTTGAAAACACAAAAAAGGAACAACATCTCATTTGAAACACAAAGGATAAACAACTTTTTCTAGTAACAACAGTAGCACTCGATCACTTAAGACACACTTAGTGAAAGATCTCGCTCTACCCACCCTAGGTCTTACAAAATCTCTTTTCAAAACACAGAGAGTTTCTTTTGGTAGCACACCAATAAACCTCTAAAAAGAAAATTTATTTTTGAAACTAGGTTTAGGTTATATAGATTCTTATTTTCGAAAATTAGATTAAGAAACTTAAGAGTTTGATCGCAACTACCGCTGATAATCGATTATCTAAAGTGATAATTGATTATCATAGAAACTTTTCGAAAACTTTTTTCTTGATGTGATAATCGATTACTAGAAGGCCATGATTGATTATCATAGAGACTTTTCATAAAATTTGTTTTCTCTATGAGATAATTGATTACCTGAGTAATAATTGATTATCATAGATATTTTTCTAAAAATCTCAAATCATTTTGGATAATCAATTACCACTATAGTTAATCGATTATCACAAAATATTTTTGAAATATTTAAAAATTCCTGACCAAGCTTATGTGTAATTCTCTAAACTAACAAATATAAAAGATTTATTACAAAAGCTTAAAACTAAATTATAAGTCTTTCGATATCTTTTGCATGTTTAAATTCTTGGACTTGCTTTTATCATCATCAAAATATCATGATCTTCATCATATTCTCTTTTGCAAACAAGTTTTTCTTCCAATGTAAAAAAGTTAACTTCCTCCTTGTTAGAAGTATACACTGACCTATAAAGAAATTGTTCTTTTCTACCAAAGCTCTCTTTGTCAAAAGCTTATCTTATTGACGACAATTAGTATAAGGTCATGGTCATAAGTGTAATTCTGAGTGGGATAATTACTAAGGAAGCAATTGTTTCAAGTTGTATCATTTATCTCGAGGTAGAGTTTAGGTGGATCATGTGACACTGAAAGAGTTTAATTCTTAGTCGAGAAATTATGGAGGAGATAATTGTTATAAGGTGTATCAATTATCTTCTGATTGAGTTAGTTAGGATGAGTAATTATTGAATTGTTATCCTTAGAAACTACATTCTAGTAGAAAAATATGTATCTTGACTAAAAGTTATAGATTTTAGACTACACTAGTTAGACAAGTTGAGTGACTGTTAAACAAATCCTATGTTAGACGACCCTGTGTGAGACGATGTGTTAGCAAAATCTTGAAGTTAGAAGTTTTGATGATGACTAAATCAAGTCTCAAGTCCTCAAGTTGCAAGAAGATCATCATGAAAACTTGTGTTTTGTGTTAAAGCTTTTGTAATGAGTAGATTTATGTATAGGGTTGTATTTGTGGTTGATTCCTTGCATTGTATGCTTTAAAATTCATTTTGAAGTTAAAAAAAACTCTACATTGATTAGCACTTAAGATAATTCATTATCAAATAAAGGTTTTTAAAGTTTGCTAAAAACTCATTTTGTCTCTAGTTATCATTTATGTAATATTCTATTTTAATAGTTTTATTTTACTAAAATGAGATGTTACAGTATTAATTATTAATTATTAATTATTAATTATTGATTACTAATTATTAATTATTATAAAAATCATTATAAAAATCATGTGAAGGCTTTATTTATGAACAATTGTTTACATGTTGCCATGATTCTATACTTACGTTATATATGGTAGAAAGGAGAGAATTACTTGCATTAGTCATTACATATGTGAGATAGAGATAAAACGGTGGAGTAGGAAATCATAACATCATTTGAGATTGATGACTTTGTTGAATGTCCGCCGACTTAGAACATCAAAGTTCTCAAGATTTTATAATATATGAGATATTAAAACACATGCAGTATTTGAATAATATAGCTTTGTTTAATATTATTAGTTTTTTTATACTTTAGGCTAGAGAAAATAAAAACCATATAGAATCAAACTTTGAAATATGAAACAATTACATCATCACCCTTAGAGACATAATTAACATAATTGTATTTTTTAAAAGAAGAAATGTTTAAAAGTTCTTTTAAGTACATAAGGAACTTCATGCCACGTGGCCGTATGATTTCATGTGAACATTACCTTCTTTTCCTCACTCTTCACTTTTCAACTTTCTCTTACTCTCTCTCTCTCGTATCGCAATATTCCCAATCTTAGGCCTAGGGTTTCTATCGCAAACCCTCCGCCCTTCCGGCTAGGTACCATTCTTCCACCCAACATCAGATCTACTTCACTTCCTTCTTCCTCCACCTGCGATCCGTCCAATTCCAATTTTTTTCTTCGATTTCATCGGTTTTGACATTCGATTATGACTTGTTTTTCCTTGCATTGTTGCAGGTCGCGTGCAAAGAGATTCCGAAGCTTTGACTTTGCTGAAGGGAAAAATGAGGCCTGTTTTCTGTGGGAACCTGGATTTCGACGCGCGTCAATCTGATGTGGAGAGGCTCTTCAGAAGATACGGGAAAGTCGATAGAGTCGACATGAAATCTGGTATATTATTCTTTGTTTTCGTTTTTTTTAATTTAATTTTGTTTAGTTTATTAGTGCTCTTTCTCAGGATATATTTTTTGTTGCATTGTGAATTTTGATTTCATATGTTCTGGATTGTGATTTTTTATAATAGGTTTGGTATATTGGGTGGCAAAGTTTAAATTTTGCTGTGATACTTTTAAACGTTTTGGTTGTTGTTGTGCTGAACTTGCCGCGTGGTAGTTGGATGGGTTCTATGAGCTGGAAGATTTGATGTTTCACAGATGAGAGTGTTCTGTTGCAAGGAAGCTGGTCGGCTGGCGTTACACAGTGAATGGAGGTGTTTGAGGATGTGGAAGTTGAGATAAAATTATCCACTTGGGTTGAGTCACATATGTTTGGGACAGGAAAATGTTATGTGCAACCATTGAAATGAATCATAGAACTCATTGACCCTTTTCTGATGTCGGTTTGGATACACCAGGAAACAAAAGGAAGAAAATTATTCATTGTTCTGAAACTGTTAAGCAAATTAAGTTGTCACTTATTTTCTTTGCACATTTGGTGGAGTATTAGTAGTAATTCCTCATGTTTGTGTTAACCAAAAATTTTTATTCTAACGCACCGGATGAGTGTAACGGATGAGATGCATTTTTTTGTTAGTCTCTTAAAACTTTCTGTTTTTTTGTTTTTTTTTTTGCTTTTTTTTGCTCTTGAACGAGAATTGGAGCATGCTTGAGAACCCGGAGTCCATTGATTCTTCCAAGGTTTACCATCCCAAAACTGTCAACCGTGACTTCTATCCTCAATTGATTCTTGAAAGGGTCAAGATGATGTTCTTTGACTAGTTTCTTTTGAATGGATGTACATTTTCTTTTCCTTTTTAAGAAAGAGAACTGTCATTAAGATATGAACCCCCATACTCAATCATTTCTTTGTGGCAGGATTACTTGGAAAGTTGGAATGTCCATGCTCTTCTTGGATGGATGTGCCTCTCTGCATTTCTTTTCTAGAATGTGCCCCAGCTTCTCCTTCTTGTATTTTTCCAGAAGAAATAATCTGATCCGTCCTTGCCCTGCCATTCTGCATATCCTCAGCATTCATTGCTTTTTCATTCTTCATGACTTTTGCTCAGTGTTCAATTTCCAACATGTTTCAACATAGAAACCATGATGATTTCGCAACTGTGGCAGGTGTTGTGGTACTTCTTGACAGTTTTTATTCACGATTTATGTTGAATTTTTATCTCATCAGCAAAGTTGATGCACACCATCATTCCTAAATTGTCTTCATGCCAGGAGTCTTCAAATGTTTAAATTAAGTATTTATGTGCTGTTTTGTGTTTAACATTCTTGTTTCTCAGGGTTTGCTTTCATTTACATGGAAGATGAACGAGATGCTGAGTATGCAATCAGAAGGCTTGATAGAACTGAATTTGGTAGAAAGGGACGTCGGATTCGTGTTGAGTGGACTAAGGTAGGTTGTGGTAGGTAGTAAATTGCACTGTGAGACCCAAATTATAGTTATTATACTACCTTGTGTACATACTTTTTATCATACTACAAATCTATACTAACTGTGCCTAGTCTCGCTAGTTGACACATGCTTGTTTATTCAAAGGAACTTGTGCTTATATTTGCTGCTTATTTTGTAATTCTGGTTTATTGTTCAAAATTTAAGTTTTTAACGTTCACTGTATTTTTATTTTGATTTGTAGCAAGAACGTGACAGTAGAAGGTCAGGTGGTGATTCCAGAAAACCTTCATCTAATTCAAGGCCATCCAAAACATTGTTTGTTATTAATTTTGATCCAGTTCACGCCAGGACAAAGGATCTGGAGAGACATTTTGACCCTTATGGGAAAATTTTAAATATAAGGATCAGAAGGAATTTTGCTTTTATTCAGTATGAATCACAGGAGGATGCTACTAGAGCTTTGGAGGCGACCAACCTGAGGTTGTAATTGCCTTCTCAATTGTTAACTAGTTTTCGTGTTTCCTCATTCCCCGAACTTTTACCCCGTTGAAATACTCTGAATTCAGTAACATGAATAAAGAAGGTATGGGGGAAGGGGATATATTTTTTAATTATTTGTTTAGACCTCTTTTTGATTGTTTATTGCTTGATTTGCAGCAAGTTTATGGACCGTGTTATCACGGTGGAGTATGCCATAAGAGATGATGATGACAGAGATAGAAGGAACGGATACAGTCCTGAAAGAAGAGCTCATGACTCGCCTGATGGGAGATATGGTCGTGGTAGATCGCCCAGTCCATATCGTAGAGGTAGTGGTAGCCCAGATTATGGTCATGGATCAAATCCATCTTCCCGACCAGAAACAAAAGGAAGCCCCAAGTATGAACGAGCTGAAAGTCCGATAAATGGGAGATATGATAGGTTTGATCTAATTTACTTGTTTTGTTTTCTTAAAATAGTTTTTGGTGCTATTTCGTTATGTTCTGACTTTTTTACTGTTCATGCAGCCGGTCTCCACCACCCCGAGAAAGGTCACGTTCTTGAGGAAAAGCTGTAGACTGTGAAATTGTTGTTAGACCATTTTATTTTTATTTTAGTCCATAGTTTGGCAGCAAAAACTCAGACTTAGTTATGTATTTATTGTTATGTTTGGTTAGAACCTTAAATTGATAAAGACATTCTAGATGTTATTAAATGTGTTGCATGTCAAATTATGGATTTTTCTTCTGCTGAAAAATGTTCTTTCGTTTGCCATATTTTAAACCGAAGGTAAGACTGCTCTTCATTCCTTAGTTTCATTATGTTGATGAATACATGATAAGTAAATATTGTGTTAAGAGTCTATATTTTATTATGTATCGTTTATTGTGATTGCTTTATATAACACCAAAAATTGATTTGTTTATTGGGTTGACATTTTAATAGTTTAAGAGCTATTGTAATTATTTATATTTAAATATCGTTGCTATTTTATAAATAATAAGAAATATTGCTGCTAACATTATTTAAGATTAAATTCATATTTTTATCCTTTTAGTTTATGTTGTGCATGTTTAATTTTAATTATTATAGCGTTTAATTACGTACATGGTCATTTAAATATTTAGAATTAAACACTTTCAATCTATCGTTGATATATTATCAAGTTGCGAATATATTTTTCGAAAAATCATCAAATACAATATTTATTTTTACTTCGGAAAAATATTTATGAAATTTATTTTATCTTTTTTATTTGTGCTTTACGATTAAGATATATTCAAATTAATTAAATATTGAATGAATAATAAGAATATAAATAGTACGAAAGTAATTATCCATGTATGATACCAATAGGAAAGTTCCAAATTAAATCTTAATATCCCACGTGCACATCCATATTAATATTTTTATGTAAAATTAAAAAATAAATGTCCAATTAAAATTTCATAAAAATTAAAATTGTGTATTGTAAAATAGTATAGGACCTACAAGTGAATTAAAACTCTTTAATAATTGGATTTGATGACTTAATTTAGAACAGAAAAAGTTGAATTAAGAGAGAAGGCATCTAAGACGTATAACTGTAAGCGAGTTTGAATTAATAAAGACATTGCAGAAATGATTTCAATAACAAAAAGTAAAACAGCGACAGTGACCAAAAATTTTCACACGTGTGATATGACGACAATAACCTTTTGACACTAAAATTATCATTAGTTCAAAGTGTACAATAATATTTTTAATTATTGAACGAAATTGAGTTTTTTCCAACTTCAAAACTAGAAAATTAATATGACCAAGCATATGATCACAACAAAACTATTCAAAGCATCAATTTGCTATTTTCATCAATTTAATTTACGTTAGAGAATTCTCGACAACCCTCAAATTTACAATTCAAAAGATGTTTTCTTCAATCAATTTTGTTTGTATTTGTTTGTTGTTACTATCTCTCCGTAAATCGCGAAGAAAGAAATGGGATAAGTTTTTAAATTACATTTTAATATTATTTGTAGATTTTTTGTGTTTTTAATTTATGAGAAAAATATTTTTCCTAATGGTAACTTTCTCAAATATTTAATCCATGATTTTAAAATTCTTGTCGTTTATCAGTGATTTCTTTTTATCCAAAGACCAAGTAAACAATCGTTTTATACAAATGTGACAGCAAGGAGACTTTTTATTAGAAATATCAATCCCCACTTAGTTATTAGAAAAATCAATAATATTGTAACATTTCAATTAAATAATTTTATTTTTAAAATACTTTTTTTTTAAATGAAACACTTCATTTATTTTTAAAATTTCTTAGCTTCAAACTCTTAAGTGAATTTATGTTATATGAATCCATTTAGTTTATTAAACAAATTCGGATCTTGCGTCATCTCTCCTTCAATTTATTTATTTACTTTTACATTATTTTTTATAATAATAACAAAACTAAATTATCTAAGTGATTCAATAATATTAGTATATGCTTGGATGGTTCAACTTCCATCAATCCATTTATCTAACATTGTGTTATCAACTATATTAATCAATATACATAATATACATAATTCAAGTCATTTATCATTTCGTGAATTCGTAGATGTAAGATAGAATTTGATACTATATTTTTTTTTCTCTATTCATTTTGTAACTTACAAAGATAACTCATGAAAATAACATTATATAAAAAATTAGCTAAGGCATGTGAGTTTTTAAGCCTAACTCATCCCCACAAACCGGCTTGTAACGTGAGGTCCCTTCACGTCGAGGTATAGACATCTCGTGCGTGATAGTAGAAATTAATGGGTGGAATAGAAGAATAGAATGCTCATTTAGAACTTGCTAGGATAGGCTCTAACCATGGCTCTGATACCATATTAGTAAGTGGGTTTTAAGCCTAACTCAACCCCACAAAACTGGCTTGTAGGGTGAGGTTTGTACCCACTTATAAACTAAGAATTGGCCTTATCTCTAGTTACAGCTGTAAAAACGGGTAACCCGGCCCGACCTGACCCGACCCACCACGGGTTGGCCACTTAGTGAGCCAACCCAACCTGGCTCATTTATTAGCGAGCCGAAAAAATTTGAACCCGACTCGATCCACCACGGGTTGGTGGGTTAAATAGGTTGGCTTATTGTCTCACTTAATTAACTTTTTTTTCATCCTCTTCTTCTCAGATTCTTATAACATGTTACTTTGATCGATCAAATTGAAACAGTAATAATTGGACCAATTGATATGAAAGAAAATGAAACAAAAGAAATATATTATTATATATATTCTAAGCTATAAAGCATAAAATTTTGCCAATTTAGTTTAATGAGACATACACAACCGTTTGACCAAGAAACTATATATAGTCGTTAACAAAAATATATAGTACAAGATAAAATTGTCATGCTTGTAGATAGGTCTAAAAACAAGATAAAACAAATGATATATTCCTGAGTTATCCAATTTATAATATTATCCATCTATTAAATTGGAGTCATGAATGGATAAATCTACAATATTATGCTCTCTTGAAGCATCTTCTTCTTTATCTCCATCTATAATATTATCCAATCTATAATCTTAGGGTTTTATTGGCACAAGGGAACTTTTGGAAAGACAGCAGCGCGAAAGGCTCTATTACTAAGTAAAGGTTGTGCATTTTGAATAATTAATTTAATTAATTTGATTTCAATAAAAAATCGGATTTGAATAATTAATTTAATTTAATTAAAAAAATAGGTGGGTTGGTGAGCCAACCCGACCCACCACGGGTTCAACCCGTGTGAGCCGGGTTCTTAGTGAGCATGGTCAAAATTGGCTCGCATCAAAATTTTTGCATGTTTTTCCAACCCAACCCGGCTCAAACCTATGATGAGCCGGGTTGACTCACGGGTTTCAACCCAATTTGACAGCACTATCTCTAGTCGATGTGGGACTTCCAACACTCCCCCTTCACGCCGAGGTATAGACATCTCGTGCATGATAGTAGAAATTGGGTGGTCCGATAACGGGTGGAATAAAAGAATATAATGCACACTTAGAACTCGCTAGGACAAGCTCTAACCATGGCTCTGATACCATATTAGTAAGTGGGTTTTAAGCCTAACTCAACCCCACAAAATCGGCTTGTAGTGTGAGGTTTGCACCCACTTATAAACTAAGAATTGACCTTATCTCTAGTCGATGTGAGACTTCCAACAATATCAATCAAATAAAAAAAATATTCATGATACAATTTATTACAAAATCTTGATTATTTTCACAATCTCTCCTTTTTTTCATCAACTATAATATCATAATTGTTGTTAATAATGTATAATCATCTTTCCAAAAAAAGGAGTTATCCATTTGCTCCATCAATTCTCAATACACTTCATCAAACAGTGATTGATCATTATGCATCCTCAAAGAAAAATATTAAGAATGCAACACGTTGAGATTATATTTGTTATTGTCTTAGAAGAATAACATTGTTTACTTTCACTTACTATTATGAGAAATATCTTTATCAACATGCTAAACTTTCTTTTAATTACATTTCTAAGTGATGAATTACTCACTATGATGTTATTCAATGTCCTTTTAACATGAATTTGACATCTAAAGTAGTATTTATCTATATACACTCAAATTATATTTATAAGAATTTAAAAACTATGTCAGGACACGTGAATTATATTATTTGACCTTAAGGTATTACAAGTGAATTCTTTCTAATGAAGACATATTTTAATATTCTTGAATTAGATGTTGTTTCCTCCAATTCACCTAGAACATGTGAATTTCATGTCGAAATCAAAAGTTGCTTATACATTCTATGTTGGCCAACCTTTTTCGTCTATGACCTATAAATAATTTTAAAGGGTAACAAAGTGATCCTAATATCTTATAATAATTTTTTTATAGGATATATATATGTGAACAACCATTTTTGTGATAACATTACCTTAAAGGATGGGTAAATATGTTGTTTTTTAGGATATGAAGTTGCACATTGTTCCTCAATAGTTGTACTAAAAATTCTCCCTCTCGAACATAATTATCACATATTCAATAGATTATAAAAGTGTTGGCAAGCTATTTCTCTAGAACAAGGAAAGAAAAAACATACTTTGATTCTTTATATTATGCCTAATGATGCAAAAAGTTAGTAATTTTTTTCTTCAAATGTCAACTAAAATGCATACTTCATTAGGTTAGTTGCACTTAATTATTGACATAAGTTGATGAGTTATTCTGGTCTCATTCAAATAATTTTGCAACATTGTTCAATGTTAATGAGGTATTATATAAAATAAATGCTATGTAACTCTTTTTTGAAAAATAAGGTTTCTAAACTTTTTTTTGTCAAACTACTCAACATAAACCACATATGTAATCCATAAACAATGTCGCAAATGATTGTGATTGTTACAGTTGCATACATACTTATAATTATTGTTGTAAGTGTCAAATTAAACTTATACTCACACTTACAAAATTATTATCGATGTCTTCCTCTTCTATATCAATAGTATTTTTTTTCTTTCCATGTCAAAGTTACTACCACAAATACAAAATTTTCTATGCATAAAAACTATTACTTCTCTTGTTAAAAATATATGCACAGTTTCATTAAAATTAGATTAGTAAATATTTTGATAATTTCTAATTTAAAATAATATGTTACCATTAATTATTTCATCCATAATTTCAAGCAATATATTTGTACTTAGAAAATAAAATTAGACAATCATAATTACACAAACAATTAAAAAATTAATCCTATGATCTACCTCGAAATAAAATGTAAAAATATTTAGAAATTTACTTGACTAATGATACCTAAAAGGTTAAAGAACCTCTATATCAAAACAAATATAACCCTAATTAACAAATGAATCCACCCAAACACATAATGAAATACCCATAAGGAAGGAGACGCTAAATACAATAAACATTTACAAAACCACAAACAAACAACACAAATGATAATCAACCATGCATTCCAAAAACCACCCTATAACCTATTAATACTAATATCACTTATTTATCACCATACTCAGTTAACCTAACCAAAATCAACCTAGAAAGATCTTTCATGCACAGAAACATCATATACATTATTAATCCATATAGATCACATATACTATGAAAACAAGGTAAACTTGATTACATAAAAATGTAATCACCCATGGTTATACAACAAGAAGCAACAAAAACACATGCATAATCAATTATGGTCAATGCATAAATAATTATGGTGAAGAAAAAAAACACAATTGATTATGCAGGATCATGTCATTTTTTTATAAACATAATTGATTGTGTACTTGACATAATCAACTTTTCTATTTGAATATGACCCAATAAAGATGCAATATCAAAGGATATTGACTCATTAACCACTATGAATAAGCACAACACCATAACAATGAAGATGAAGGAACACGGGAGGTATGCGAAAGTTAATGCTAGAATAAATAACAAAGGTTTTTGAAAACATGAGTCAAACAATGAACCAAAACACACCAACCAATGCTCTCAAAGGAAGAAACGAGAAATAGGAAAGAAAGAAGTAAACAAATCTACACACAATAATCCTTTCTATAATAACTTTTGTCCAATAATAGTTTAATCTCCATCAACTTTTTTTCAATAGCTAAAAGCTGATAGATTCAAATGTAAAAATAAAATCACGTGTATTAACTAAAGATTCTCTGTACAGTGGAATCAAAAGTAAGGTTCTCTGTGATATAGAATTTCACGTAAGAATTTATAATTTAGAGTTCTGGTAGGTAATAGTTTAATCAAAGTAGTGACTGTGATGAAAGCTTCACCCTAAAAATTAGGAACAAATGATGCCAAAGCTAGAAAAGTTAAACTAGTTTCAATGGTGTGTTAATGTTTCCTCTCAAGATTTCTATTTTTGATGGTCGATGTGAGAATAGGAAAGCTCATGTTAAATGACTTGCTCTTGAAGATAAGTGGTGAATTTCATTTTTTTTACATTATCAGTTTGAATAACTTTAATCTCATTGTTAAGATGGTTTTTGGCAAGATATATAAATTGTAGGAATGAAGGCAACATTTATAGAGGAATCAAACAACAACAATTCAAAATAACCAATGATTTTTATTTGTAAACCTATGTCATTACCTATCTTAACATTCTTTGGACCATTGTATGTAGTTTTGATGGAGAAATTTCTTCATTATTGATAGTGTGATGAGAAACACCATTGATTGGATATCATAATGGATCCAAGATAGTAATAAGAGTAACAAGAAATCATTGATTATTATGAATGTTATTTTTAGTGTCAAATTGAGTTTTTTTTTTTAATTTATGGAGTTCCTTAGAATTGATGGTTAAATCTTTGTCAACAATACCAATTACATGACCATATTTTATCACAAAATTTACCTCGTGGTCTTGAATTTGAGTTTAGTTTTGTAACCACATGTTTTTGATAAAATGTCTCTACCAACAAGTTTATTTATCGTTTTTTAGATTGAAAACCACCTCCATTATTTATTCTTCCTCCATGATCATCGTAACCTTCTCTATAGTTTTGAGATTCAAGTTTGCCTCTGCCATAAATTGTATTATGATTTCTAATTGTAGTTGTATTTTTATGGTGTCAAGTTGATATCAATTTCTTTTTTGTTTTTCAAATCTTTCTTCTTGTGCAAGTAAGATCCCAATAATTTTTTTATGGATCCAACTATGATGTGATGAAAATGATAAACGAATCAAATTCTTATCAGAACTTATCAAGAATAGTCTCCATGTGATCCTCTAGAGAAATTGGCAATCCAATGCAACTAACGAATCTACAATTTGCTTCATTGATAAAAGAAATTCATTTATTGACTTATCTTTCTTAATTACTCATACCTACAACTTCAATTTTCTAATCTTAACTCGTTTTTTAGAGACATTATGTTTTTCTAGGTTTTTCAATAATGCAAGTCTTCTAATATTTCCTTAGTGAGGATTGATATACTTACTAACTAATGCGAAAGAGTCTTGTAACTAAGAATTGATCTTGTTCAATTCAAGAATTCAAGAATTTCAAGATTAAACTTTGCTACTATTTCATTTTCTGTCACAAATCATTCTTGAACATACTATTATAAGTTTTAGTTATTCGATTCATAGAAATTCAAACATTAAAAGTTAAAAAAATAAAAAATAAAAATAGAAAAACTAAGTTGAAGATATTTTGAAAGGAATGGAACATAGATAATAATTGATACAATGTGAAAATTATGTATAGAAATTGAAAAAGAAAAAGAAAAATAATCAGAGAAGAGAAATATTATTAATTATCTAAGGTTGAAAAAATGAATTATTATTCATATGTTATATCAAACAAACAATCCACCAAACATACAACATGGGATCCACTAATAATATGATTAGTCAATAACAGAAAGCATAAAGCTAAAATAAGCAAAACTAACATTGTTTTATATTTTATTTTTTGTCGGAAAAAGTTTTTAACGATACGTGTGTGGAAACAAAACACATTTGAACGAAAAACTGAGTTTTTTTTCCACCTTCAATTCTACAAAATTAATCTGACCAAACATATAATAACGACAATAAAGCTATTCAAACATCAATTTGTGATTCTTATCAATTTAAATGACATTAAAGAATTTTGGTCAACAATGAAATTTACAACTCAAAACATAAACGTCTTCCTCAATCATTCTGTCTCTGTATTGGTTTGTTGTTACTATTTCTCCGCAAATTATGAAGAAACGAGATAAGTTTTTAAATATCATTTTATAATTATTTTAATAATATTTAAAGAATTTATGTTTTTAATTTATGAGAAAAATGTTCAATTTTTTTTCTTTCCTAAATATTTAACTAACGTTTTTTTTATGTTTTTCTAAGAGACCAAGTAAACAATTGTATTATACGAAGAGATTTGTTTTTTAAATATCAATACCGACATAGTCAATAACAAAACCTTTGTCGTAATATTTCAATCAATTTACTTTTTTTTTAAAATACTTAGTTCTAATAAAAAACACTTCGAGTTTTCTCGTGCTTCAAATTCTTTATTCAGATAAAGTAATTTAATTTTCATCGTATACCATTTCTATTTACACGTTTTATTTAAAATTTTACCTTAAAAGAAACTTCATATTACTTTGCATCATTTTGAAAAGAATTTAGATTGTCCTAGAAAATGATTTTTTCATGTAATATTTTTAATTCATTTAAAATTAAGCTCCATTCTGAACATTAGAAAATGATTTGTTTATTATTTACCACATCTTCTAAACATATATATGGCCTGTTAGTTAATTAGAACTTATTAATTATTTTTATTTTTTATCATTTCTTGTTTCATGATTGTCAATAAAAATATTTTCTTTATTAGTTCTTCAAAATTTCATACTGATTGATAATATTTTATATATATTATACTTATATAAAAAAAAATATGTATGAACCATGCATAGAAACTGGAACTAACAATCGAGTGGCAATTTCTATGAGCTTACCAAGCCAACAACCTCACATGCCTTGCTTCACCAAACTTCTTATCAGTGGTAGTTTCGTAATTTGGTGCAAAAACAATGTCAAATGTGTGCAAATTCAAAATCCATAACACTGAACACTGAACTGAAGAGAACAGTTCCTCATGATCCGTTTACTTCACACGTGGGATTCTCATTTTAATCTCTTTGAAAAGTAGCATCTGTCCCCACATCACACGTGGCAATTCTTACACGTCATCATATTGCAACGTACAAAAGAAATCCTAAGCATTTTCAAATTTTAACAAATCCCAACGGTAACCTTGTCTGTCCAACCCGCATTCTCCACCGTCCGATTATCGAACCTGCACGACCTTTAAGCCTCTTTACACTAAACATAAGCACCCTTCTCCCTCAGCACGGACACTGGCTTCCACGTTGGTGAAAATTTGATTTTTGAATAGTGGGTATATGTGTGTGTGAACGTTGTTGTTTGTATTGTACTCGTTGTGTCGTTTTGTGAAGCTAAGTTTTTTATTAATACACTTTGTAGCAGGTTTCTGATTCAAACTTGATCACCATTTTCATCTAAAGTGTGTCGTGTCTGTTTCTCAATTATGACACAGAGATATTTTTGATTCTCAGAAAATGAAGGGTATGGTTTTGGAGTGAATCCAGCTGTGTTTTGATTGATGAGTTTGGAAGCATTGCATTTAAAATTTTCAGTGTTGGTGGGTGGTTGGTGCTCTCTGTAGCAATTTTTGAAGCACACTACAGTGTGATAGAGAGTGTCAAGTTTGAAGATTAAGCTATACAAAGTCTTAGCTTGTTTCCTTTGTTACTCATTCTTAAAGGTTGGTCCTTCATCTGCGTGTGCGTGTGTGTTTGTTGCTTCTTTGCTTTGTTCTATTTCTACAGATAACAAGAATTCCGTTCTTTTTCTTCCCGTTTTGGTTTGGAACTTAATGTTTTCTCTCGTGCCTTTGGGGTTGCAGAAACAGTCGAGAACAGCAGTGATAGCTTATGACTGGATCAATTCATTGAAGATTTAGAAAATCAAGTTGGTTTGAGGTATATTACTATTTGAATTTATGATTTTGATTTTTCATCAATGTTAATAGTAGAAATGACAAAGATAAATAAAAATAGTAATGGGTATTCGTTGGATATAATTGGGTTGTGTAATACAACTTGAAGATAGAGACTTTTGTTTTGTGTCTTTCCTTCAAAGTAAAGCCTTTCCCTTTCTCAAACCGGTAGCCTTTATGAGGAGAAAGGAGAAACCCTGCGAAGAATTCCACTTTTGAGGAGCCTCTCTTTTAGAAACAGGAATCCTTCATTTGGGTTGGAATCAACATGACAAACAAAACTTCCTAAATTTTCACCTTTAAGACTCTCTCCAACCAACCTTCATTTTCATGGTTGGAAAGGAGGAGGTTGTGTCAATGACCAAAATGCCCCTTGAGAGGGTCTTTTACTACATTTTATGCCATGTGTGGGGTGGGTCTTTTTGGTCTAATGTGTTTGATTTGTATAATATTATCCACCGACGGCTTCTTAATTGGACTTAATAGTTAGCCGTTACACGCCAATTCCCTCACTTTCATCAACACCCTTCATCATCAAAATGGTTTGGAATTTCCAAAGGGCATTAAATGATTACTTGCTCTAAAGTAAGGGAAAGAAAGCCTCGTGGGGCATCTTTAGGTACTTCAGTTTTGATGATGGTTTAGCCATGCTTTCAAACAAGATTTGTGTGTGATCATAAGATGCTCGACGTTATTGATGTTGGTCTTGTCCTTTTTATTTCTTTTTACTGTCTGAGAATTTTCTATTGGAGTCTTCATTTATAATTTACGGATTTTATGATTGCAACTGCTCCACAACTTTTTAATTATCTATGCTGATAGTATCATTGCCTTTCTACAAATCGGCATCTCCATCATATCTCTGAGCTTGGTTTTCTTCCATTCTGCAGCTTTGTTGACATCAATTCAATTTTACTTTACCACCACTCTCTCCAAATTTAAAATCATGGTGGAAGATAGTAAAGCTGCAGTAGCAGTTGATGATGCCTGTTCAAGAGAAAACTTGTTGTTGCATGCACAGGAACTTGTTCCTGTGGCTCTTGCTAAGGCGAAAGAGGTTAAGGTGTTCCCTGGTAGGTGGAAGATGATCATTTCAAAATTGGAGCAGATTCCCTCCTGTTTATCGGATTTGTCTAGCCACCCTTGTTTCTCCAAGAATGCTCTATGCAAGGAGCAATTGCAGGCTGTGTCAAAGACGCTTAAAGAAACCAAAGAATTGGCTGAGTTGTGTGTGATGGAGAAGTACGAGGGTAAGCTTAGGATGCAGAGTGATCTTGATGCATTAACTGGGAAACTGGATTTGAATTTAAAGGATTGTGGTCTCTTGATCAAGACCGGTGTGCTCGGTGAAGCTACTTTGCCATTAACCGTGTTAGGTTCTATGGCAGAATCAGATATTGCAACACACAACTATATAAGAGAACTACTAGCGCGCCTTCAGATTGGTCACTTGGAAGCAAAGCACAAAGCCTTAGACAGACTCTATGATGTTATGAAAGAGGATGAAAAGAATGTTTTGGCTGTTCTTGGCAGGAGGAATGTTGCTGCTTTGGTTCAATTGCTCACAGCAACATCTCCAAGGATAAGGGAGAAGACGGTTACTGTTATATGCTCTCTGGTGGAATCTGGGAGCTGCGAAAAGTGGCTAGTTTCTGAAGGAGTTCTTCCACCTCTTATTAGACTTGTTGAATCTGGTAGTGCTGTCAGTAAAGAGAAGGCTATAGTATCTCTTCAGAGACTGTCAATGTCAGCAGAAACAACTCGTGCAATTGTTGGACACGGTGGTGTTCGGCCATTGATCGAGCTTTGTGAGAGTGGAGATTCTGTGTCACAGGCTGCTGCTGCCTGCACTTTGACAAACATATCAGCTGTTCCTGAGGTGAGACAGGCTTTGGCTGAAGAAGGTATTGTAAGTGTTATGATCAATCTTCTTAGTTGTGGAATTTTGTTAGGTTCCAAAGAGTATGCAGCTGAGTGCTTGCAGAATCTCACTTCAAGCAACGAGCATTTGAGAAAGTGTGTTATATCAGAAGGTGGTGTTAGAAGTCTTCTGACCTATCTAGATGGTCCACTTCCTCAAGAATCCGCAGTTGGAGCATTGAGGAATCTGGTTGGATCAGTTTCTGAGGAAACTTTGGTTTCTCTTGGTTTGCTTCCTTGTTTGGTTCACGTTCTGAAGTCTGGATCTTTGGGTGCTCAACAAGCTGCAGCTTCTGTCATTTGCCGAGTTTGCAGCTCAATGGAGATGAAGAAAATGGTGGGTGAAGCTGGGTGCATCCCTCTTCTTATAAAGATGCTTGAGGCTAAAACAAATACTGCTAGAGAGATTGCTGCTCAAGCAATTTCAAGCCTCATGGTTCTGTCTCAGAATCGGAGAGAGGTTAAGAAAGATGATAAAAGTGTTCCAAATCTTGTCCAGTTGCTTGATCCAAGCTCTCAGAACACTGCCAAAAAGTACGCAGTTTCATGCCTTGGATCACTTTCTCCATGTAAGAAGTGTAAGAAACTGATGATTTCGTATGGAGCAATCGGGTATCTGAAGAAGCTTACAGAGATGGACATTCCAGGAGCTAAAAAGCTTCTTGAGAGGTTGGAAAGAGGGAAATTGAGAAGCTTGTTCAGCAGAAAGTAGAGGAACCATTGAAAGTTTCAAATGGCGATTTGTATCATGAAGCTTTTCCTTTGTTACTTTTGTTCTTGTCAATGTTGTTTCATTGTCTATATGAAACAAGTAGCTTAGAGTGTAAACTGTGGAATGAGAAGTTTGGTAATCTGTGTAATCAATGTTTAGCTGATATAATCTGTTATCTTTCTGTATATCATCATTTGTTATATTTCTAAAAACTTCTAATTTTGGTAGCATTAGAACTCTGGTCAACAAGTGAAAAGTCTCAAAACCTAAGATGATTTTTTTTCTCTCTTTCTAGAGGCACCATTGCATGCAATGCAACGATTCTTTCAAGCTTCGGAATCAAATATAAATTACAGTAAGAAAGAAAAAAACGTAAAGTGATATATACATGAACACAACTTTGTCTCAAATTATCATATTTTTTTTTATAAACCATCAAATAAAGTTGCATGTAATCATTCGTTTCTATAAGAATGTTATAAATATGAGTAGCGACATCCCCTAAATTGTCTTTCCACGCCTACAACTTGACTCTTGAAGAAACTATAATCACTCAAAAAGGATCCATATATAACATTTAATTTCATCCAAATAAAAAAAATGTTAACATAGTAAACTATATTTTTGAAATGCATGAATTGTATTTCGGAACGAACTTTTCGGAATAAGATTTCTAGAACAAATTTTTTGAAATGTATGTAATGTCTTAATAAGTTTTCCAAAACACTCCCATTTCGAAAAAAGAATAGTTTTTCAGAACACATGAAATGCATTCTGAAAAAAGCTTTTAGAAACAAGCTTTTTCACATTCTCTCTCTTCCTTTCCAGTGTCCTCCCTAGTTCTTCTTCCTTTGCAGTAGCTGTGATCATAGTGACAAAAACGATGATCTATTGTAACGATAAAATATAGTTTAATTTTATTCTATTAGTGTGACTGCAGGAAGCAAAAGCCTCTGGACTACCCTCAGGAACGATAATGTATTTGATAAATATATAATATTTATATTTTAAGCAGGTCCATTACATTTTTTTTTTCAATTTTATTCTGTCATTTTTGTTTTTTCCTTCCTTAAGGAAAACTTCTACTTTCTTAAATAACCTTATGCTTTTACTTCTTACATCCTCACAATTTCTTCGTGCACCTCATAAATTTTAAAAATGATTATTTTATCTTTTGAAAAAGCGACATTTCCAGAAACTTTTCAGAGCAGACTTTTTGAAAATTTTGAAATAAGATTTTCAAAAAGATTTTTTCTAGATAGAATTTTCAAAATCAGGTTTTTGGAACGTTGTTGTAATTGTATGCCAAGACGCATGAAATAAATTCTGGAAAATGGTATTCTAATAGGATTTCGGGAAAAAACTTTTTAGAACACTTATAATATCTTCTAAACTTCCCCTCTTTTTCTTTTTTCTACAATGAATGTGATGATTGAAGGAATAACAACGGTGTGGTGAAATAATAGAGAGTTTTAAGTCTTTTTTCTATCACCAAGCACTAGCTATAACCTTAATGTTTTGGTGTTAACTTGATGGCTGATATTAAGACAAGGATAACTACTTATGACCCATAAGATAAAGAACAAAATATTCTCTCTCTAATATATATATATATATATATATATATATATATATATATATATCAATTTTCTCAATTATAAAGTTTACTTTTTAATTATTTATTTAAAGTGATTGTTTTGGAAACTATAACTCTTTATCTTATCTTCATTATATTAAATATTACTTCTACCAACTTTTAATTTTTCAAAAGAATTTCAACATAACACACCATCTTAAAAATATAAAATGAATACTTATAAATTTTCTGAAAAAAATGTTTAATAAAGGTTTAATTGATTCGGAGGTCCCTATTTGTGCAGTTTTACGTGAAGTAGGTCCCTGTATTTTGAAGTAGTTCAATTTGGTCCCTAATTATGAAAAATTGAAGCAATAAAGTCCGTGCCATTAAATTCTTTGAACGACATCAAAATTGTTGCCTGGTGACTAGGTGATGTGGCATTTGAAAACACGTGTCACATAAAGAGTTTAATAGGTGGACTTAAATTGACGATAATGCGCTGCCACGTGTCAACACTCTTCCCTCCCAATTAGGGTTTCAGATTGGGGGAATACTCCTGCTCTTCCACGTAGTCTCTCTTCGCGAAAGGGTTTCTTAAATTGCAAAAAAAAATTGCAAAAAATTAAAATAAAGGTTAAGCACACGTGTGATCGCTCGCATCGTCCTTGTGCTAAAAAACCTTTTCTGTTTATTTTATAAAAATAAAAAAAATATATAAAATCTTCAAAAACTAAAAAAATCAACACTTTCAAACAACAAATAGTCTTGCTAGCCAGAACTACATGATCCTTGATTCTCCATCAAAAGTGGAGATACGTAGGAGCAAGGCTAGTCCTTGTCAGGTTCACTTCCCAAAAATCCAAATTTATCCATAATCAATTTTCCAAACAAATTTTCTAAACAATTTTCAAACAAATTTTCAAACAGTTTCTGAAAGAACTACGTAACCCTGATTTCTCATTCTGAATGAGAATACGTAGGAGCGAGGTCAATCCTTGTCGGGTCCAAAAAACTAAAAATATATTTTGTCTCTTTAGAGTTTTGTTTTAGGGGATAGTTAAACATTTTGAAAACCACATCATATTCGCGTATTTAGTTAAAGGTACTACCTTAGGGCAGGCGTTGTAGGGTGTTAATACCTTCCCTACACGTAACCGACTCCCGAATTTAGAATCTCATTTTCGCAGACCATGCCTTATCATTTTATGGTTTTTCCGTAGTTTTCCAGAATAAACTATGGTGGCGACTCCAAATCTCTTTTTTTCTAAACCCGCGTCGCGTTCTCTTTTTTTGGGTTGTCGTCCCGTCGCGATCCCGATTGCGACACATGCCAAGTGTAAGTGACTCTCAGGTAGAAGCAGAACAAGTTGATTTAGAGATGAGTGATCGGTTAGAGGACATGATACATGATGTCGGACCTGATTCCTTCCAACGTGCTCATGTGTATGACAACTTGTGCACTGACGTAGAAAAACCTTTATATCAAAAATGCACTAAGTATACTCGATTGTCAGCTGTGTTAAAATTGTTCAATGTGAAGGCAAGAAATGGGTGGACTGATAAAAGCTTCACAGAGTTGATTGAGTTGTTGAGTGACATGCTTCCTGAATGTAACACATTGTCAACACGCAATTATGAAGTTTAAATATATTCAATATTTTATTCTAACATTATTCATTTTCAATGTTTAAGGTATTTACATCGGTTGAGCATTGAAAGGAAGAATGATAACATTTATGGTTTTATTGACCCTGTTGCCATTCAAGGAGTTGGGAATAAAGGTGAAGAGGTCCAAAAGTACCTCTTGGAGGCATTTGTAAACGGAAAAAAACAAGTGTACTTAGCACCTTATTTGCAATAGTAAGTATATAATTTTTATTAATAAAATTCTATTTATGTAAATGTTATTTAACACTATTATTGTTTGAATCTGCAGGGGTCATTGACAATTGTTACTAATTCTTCCTCAATAGTTTCTTGTAGTTCTCTTGTGTTCATTGTACAAAAAACCTCGCACTTTGGCAATTAATATCGTAAGATTTTTAATAATTTATTTGTTGTGTACACATAACTGATTTTACTAAGTTCCTTAGGACTTATTTTAATGTACATTTAACTTTATAGAGTGGTTGAGGCATATTCAAAGTTGTAGGGAACACATATCGTCTCTAGAAAGAAGTTGCAGTTTATTGCACCAATTGTAAGTAGTTAATCTTTCAAACTATAAATACAATTACAAATTTTATGATACTTTATAAATTTAACTTGTAGTGCTCACGTCAACCGGGAAGCTTTGAGTGCGGATATTATGTCATGAGGCACATGCAGAAAATTATATCCGCAAATGTCGTTGAGTCATGGAATTTGATAACGTGAACATTTTATAACTAAGATCTTAAACCATTAATATTATAACTTGACTCAAACTATTCATTGTGTAGATATTTGATGACACGTCTCCAATGGAGCAACATGTCATAAAGGATGTTCGGGAGCAGTGAATTGCATTTTTTTAACTATTTGTAAATGATTAGATGTTTCAATGTTACATTTTGAGTTTAGGAACTATTTTATGTGTAATTGTGTTAAGTATGTTAGGTAAATATATTTAGAAACATTGTTAAGTAAATATTACATTTTGATGCGTTAATAGAAATAATATTGTTAGGTAAATCTGGGATTGAATTTTTTGTAGGTCTGGATATTGATAATAACACATACAAATCAAATATTTTAAAAAAAACTTCACTTTTTACACCGGTTAAAGCCACATTAGGTATAAAAGTCTTGTTTTTTCTCACCAGTTATAACATTATCAGGTATAAAAGTGAGTTTCTTTTATACCTGTTATGTTATCAGCAAGTATAAAAGTGAGTTTTTTTTTAAATAAGAGAGACGACTTTTTTATACCTGATCCCATAATATCAGGTGTAAATATCAAACTTTTATATCTGTTAAAGAAATAACCGGTGTAAAAAATTAAACTTTTATACTGGTTCTAGAACCGGTGTAAAAGGACGAAAACTTTCTATACTCCTTGCATTTATAGCTACTCAAAAATAGGTATAAAAAAACATTTTTTAACAGGTATAAAAACCTTTTTTGACATAGTGTATCCTTCGTTGTATCAAATATTTCCCCTGCATTGATGTTCCTTACTTCTAATTCTTCAAAGTTCTTCCAACATAACACACAAACACATTGCATTCTTAAAATATAAGATGAATACTTATCAATTTTCATAGAAAAATATTTAACAAATAAATAATTATATGAATCTATCCAATAATCATGAAAATGTCATACGTGCCCAAATCTTGTGCACGTATGGTGTCGTAATATTCAATTAATCTTTCCAATGACTTTTTCACGTCCTTTCCATTTCAAACTAATATTTATTGTAAAATTTTTATCAAATTAGCATGTTGAGAAAACATGAAAATTCTCTGAAAGTTATCTTATTGGGCTTGTTCTGGAAGCTCGACCCACTTCCTTTAGCCTTTTATTATCTTTAGTTTTCTTTCTTTGTTCACATAATACACATTCAATACTTTTTCGCTTTCTCTGTGTAATTCACGGCAAATACAAAAGGGGTTTCTTTCCCTA